GTTTCAATTGGCGCTTAGACTTCTTCTCGTGACTGCACGCACGCACGCACGCACGCACGCACGCACGCACGCGCGCTCGGGCCTGGTCCGGTCGACGCCGACCATATACGCAGCTGCTGAGAGAGGCGGCGACTTTGTCGAGCTCTGCGGCATTGCTGACTGTCAAATTGTCAAATACAAAGTTCTCTGGGGCTACCAGTACCGTAGAAGGACTCTTCAACAAGGAGCTGCCTCAATCCTGATCAGCAGACCCTGAGAGCTGAGCTGCTGGATCTTCACACGTCGAGGTGTTGGCGTGCACCCCAACCCGACACTGGAAAGGTTGTACTGCCTTGATTTGTACCTTCAACAAAGCTCCAGACGGCAATCTCATCTGCAACGATCACCTGGGCGCGCATCGCTGGTACATGATCGCTGTCTCAGCGCGTGCTGTGCGCGCCTTGCGACCAAACACCAGAATCGTCATAATCATCCAGCCACAATGCCGATCTTCAAGCGGAAGAGCACCAAAGGCGGCCGAGGTGGCATCATGATCGCTGCAGCTGATGAAGGCCATCATCAGGCGGATAGGATGCAGCGCAACGGGTCGCTCCAGACATCTTCACAACCCCTCGACACGCGAAATCTGCTGGGCAAAGAGACGGACTACAGTGAGTATCTCGCTCGACCCTGGCAGGTGCGCAGTTCATGCCAGATGGCCCCGCTTCGCGCGCAATGGCGCCAGATCATCGAGGCAGTGCATCGGATGGGCTCGATGTGTGCGATCGACGTAACGTGAATGCTGACACAAGTCTGGGTCGGTCTCGAACCATACCGCAATCGTCCTGTAAGGGTGAGCATCACCGCATCGCAACCCTCGTCCTCTTTCAGAGAGCATTGGCTGATCCCGCTTTGCTCTGTCATGTTGCAGAACATCTCTCATCATGCCTCACTTGACTCGGCGCTTTACGCTCCTTCGAGCGCCTGATGGCACTATGGTCACGCCAGATGCAATGCGAGCTCATCTACGAGCGCAGCGTGCCAGAGCAAGAGCAGCCGGAGAAGGAGCCCATTTCCTCACAGAAGCGGAGGAGGACGAGATCATAGACCAGCTGAGGAGGCAGACACATATGGAGCAGAACGTGGGCCAGGTGGGTCGTTCTTCGGCATTGCTCAGTCCTGGTGCCGATGGTTTCGGCGGCATCGACACGTTCGCCGACAGCCAGGCCTCTGAAATGTCGCCCACGAGTGGTTTTGGAGGGACTGATGGATTTGGTGACTGGGGAGGAAATAGCTCGAATGGTCGGAGCTCGTCCACTGTCAACAATACTAAAAGCCTTGCCGAGAGCCTGGGCGACTTTCAACAACCTTCGCCCAACTCTACCCACTCGTCTTTCTCACGCGGCGAGGGCTCTCTTTTCAGCGGACGAAGCACCGGTCGAGACAACACCTACCTGCGCTCGTTGGCCAAGGAGCGTTTTGCAGGAAGCGCGATCGCTAAGAGTGATGGCTCTGAGCAGCATCCGGACATCATCGAAGAGGAGCGCGAAGAGGATGAGGGTCAGGGTGCGACTGTAAGCCTTTCTGCGGATCAGTCCAATGATCAGGATGATGCTGTGGGGATGCCAGGCGACTTCACAGCTGTAGATCGTCGCCCTTCAGAGACGGAAAAGGCGCTGACTGCTCCGAGGCAGCAGCAGCATCTCGCAGTACCAGGGGCAATGGGCGCTCTGGAAGGCGGACAGCGTCAATCCCAATTGCTCAATCTATCTCCAGAGGCCTTCAAGCGCGTCAGCACGGCATTGGAAGAGGTTTATGGTATGGTCTCCGGACGTGTGGAGGAGGGCAGTGGAGATGAAGGGCCTACTGAAGAGTCTCTTGAAGACGAGGACGATGAGAGGCTCGACCAGGTCTTGGAACAAGGCTTGGAAGCCTACCCGCAAGACGATCCGAACCTCCAAGAATTCGTTCGCAGTCCTAACAGCCGACATGTGTTCATCGACAGAACCGAGCGCAGGTCGGTGGACAGCGACGATCGATCTTTCGCTTCCGCTCACTCCAACGTCGCTGCGTCGGCGATTCATGCTGACACTCAGAAGTGGGATAGAGACGGCGCCGGTCGACCTGTACACGATTTCTCTGGCGCTTGGACATCCGATCCGGTGCTGTCTAGGCTGGGACCGGCAGACCTGGCCTTGTCAAGCCGGAGCGAACAGCCTTCGCTTCACGTCGAATCAATCGATCGTCGCGGTGGGACTACCCCTACACCTCGCAGCAACGCGAGCGATCGAGTTAGCGCTGTGTCTGACGCTCGATCATCGGCTTTCAGTGGCCTGGCGTATGACGCAGATGAGCCTGGAGACCTGACACCAGGTCGGACTCGGAGTATACCGAAGGCAGGAAGTTCGAGACTAGACGCCTCGGCATTTCCTCCCGTCGGATCGCGAAGCAGTGGCAATGGATATGTCGACCACAGTGGCTCAGGTCACGCCTCTCCGGAACATCGCAACAACACAGCTTTGACGGGCCGAGAGCGGTCCAACTCCTCTCCTAGCGGGCGAGCTGGCGGCGGCGGAGTCCTGAGCTACGCGCCAAATTCGCGCTCCCACGGCACCAACAATATCAGTATTGACGCTGCCCACGGTCGCGTAAAGGTCAGTCCAAATCAAGCCGGTGCACACAATTATCTTGCCAGGCTGGGCAAGGATCCCTCTTCGTTGACATCCCTCACAGGGTCGGCAAGGAGCATGAGCCCTGGTCAGCCCTCACGAGAACGCGCAGATTTTGCAAGCAGTGCTGCCGAATTCCGCCCCTTATCGCCCCCTCAGATGCCTCCAAGGCTCGCAGACCTTCGCCGGCCTTCGGAGACTTCAGTCGCGACGACCAATGCATCCGGCTCGGGAACGAGCACACCCGTGTTATCTGCCAACGCGATTGCAGCTCGCTCACAGCGCTACTTTCCTCGATCCAACTCATCGGCGCGATCGCACGCCGATGGCTTTCGACCGGCGCCGTCTAGTGCAGCGGCAGCAGTGTCGAGGTCTCCTCTTGCTACAGAGCAGGCCACTAGACAGCGCGCTGGATCGACGCCCTCTAAAGCTCTTCAGAATATCACGCAAACTCCTGCGCCGCCCTTTGGAGATCAGCTTCTACCCCCGAGGCCAGCAGCAGACCGCTTCTGGAGCTCTTCATCCTCCGATGCGGCTAGTGTCGTCAGCACGGCTTCGGACATGCCACCTTTCGACGACGAACGGGATGCCGACCCGGATGATGTCTGGGCGCGCGTCACGCGCAGCGATGGAAATAGGCATGATCGAGATGCTGATGCAGAAGCTATGAGACCTATTTCTATTTTGCCGCCTGAGGCAGCTGCAAGCCAACTTGCGGATGCGGGTTTCAATGTCGGTCAACTTGCTGAGCTCCAGCAGAAGCTGGTGAGATCCGCCAGTCAGAAAGAGAGCAAAGGCGTGCAGCGAGCCCCATCACACGGTGCGGCTGGTAATGCTACTCAGGCTGCCCCACCATTGCCGACGTCTACGCCGGCTCGGAACGGTCCTCAGCACAGCACGCCGCCTTCCTTGAGCAACGCGTTTGTGCTGAATGCCTACGACAACAAAACTCCCGCGGAGCAAGAGCGAGACTTGTCCCCCTCGATACGGCCACTATCTCCGTCGAGCTCCAATCCAAAGCTGGATAAGGCTCGAGAGCGTGCGCGGATGCTTGCTGAGCGCAACCAAGGCAGTCTGTCCTCTAGGTCTTCTGAACGTGATTTCAGCAAGGCGAGAGGCCGGCCCAGCGAAGACACTCAGGAGTCAAGCTTCGCTCTAGGGTCGATGCGGAGCGAAGACCGCGGATTCGCTACGCCCGAGCAAAAGGTGTACAACAGCAACGACAGGGCTTTGCCGAGTGTGACGCACTCCGGATCTCAGCGCTCGTTCAAATCACAGGTGATGTACGATGTCACGACGAGTCATAGGCCAACCTCACCCCCGCCTCGCACCTCTTTGAGCACTCTTCCTACGCTTCAAGATCTTGCACTGAACAATTCCTATTATTCACCGACCTTCCAGCCGATTCCCGCCGTCGTCGACCCCAATCGTCAATCGCTCTCTTTGAGCTCTGTGGTAGAGAATGCAGCAGCGCGTGCTGATCGTGACTGGCATGGTAGCCAAGACTCTACCTCGAGTCTCCTTAAGGGTTCCGATGGATTTCCCGGTTTTCCTGGCGCCTCTGCAGCTGCCAGTTTAAATGCTCACGCGCTGGCCATACCCGAGGAAAGCGGAGACCAAGAGTGGGCGTCTGGACACGAGCAGTCCGCAAATGTTCCCTTTCCTGGTGGAGACGGCCTTCAACCTCCCGTTTCCCAGACCTACGAGGTCCCTACGCAGAACGATCACGCAGCGCCGCACATGCTGGAAGCGCCAGTCAACACCTGGTCCGACACCGGCAACGACTCGGTCACACGGTCGGTGGACAACAATCTCGTTGACGACGTGGAAGCACAAGCACGCGCTGCCACCCTTGCGCTGAAAGGCACCGACGATCCTGGGCCGCGCGTCGCAGTGCCTCAGCGCGCCAAATCGCTGAGCAAACGCAAGAGCAAAAAGCTTGCAAAATACATTTCGCAGCCGCAGCTCATTCAGACCTCCCAGAAAATGGAACATGCGGCCAGCATTCCTCATCCGGATGCTACTCTGACAAGGCGCGTTGGCAACGCATTGGCGACATCTCCCTCTGCCAACTCAAATGCTCGATCACCAATTCCAGCCTTCAACCGTGAGGAACGAGCGCGCGCTCCACTTTTGTCTCTCGGCGGCACCGACTACAGCCGGGACTCGTACCTTCGTCAAGAAGCTGCGGGCGGTGCCCGTCAGGCCGAGAACAGCGCAGTCAGCAAGAGCCCCGCGAGCTCATTCGGCAGTCCTGCTGATCTCCCGACTGGTCCAAAATCTGCACCCGCTACTTCTTCCTTGACCCAAGCACGCATCGGCAGCGTCAGTGACGGGAAACCCGCTTCGGACCTCTTTGACAGCCCCGCGAAGCCTGCGCCGCAGCGCTCTGGTAGTGGATTCAGCAAGCTCATGTCACGAGTTCGTTCACGCAAGCAGTCAACAGGCCCGATGACCACCCCTATCGACCCGTACCCCGCTACGACGCCTTCGCCAGGGGTGTCCAGCTCGCAAGGGCCCTCCAAGACAGGGCCCAAATCCGTCGCCAGCCACCCGGCGGCAAGCAAGGTCCAATCCGAGCCATCGCCCAAGTCAAACAAGGTTCTTGAGCCAGTGCCAAGCAATAGGGCAGAGGATGTGCACGCGCCACAGACACAGGCAGCTGTTGGCAACGCTCGTGACACAGCTGTCCAGCCTCCAGAGGCATCTGCTCGTAGTGTGGTTGAGCTTACACCTAGACTGGAAGAGACGAAAAGCAGCTCGAGTGCGCTCACTGAGCGCCAAAAGGCTGGCCTGTTGGGCTCGCCAGCACATATACAAGACGCTTGGGGCCAGCAGGCCTTTGAGCAGCCAGACGCCCAGCTCTCTGATTTAGCGCAGGCGGTGTTGCAGCAGAGCAATCTTCCGGACCCACAGGACAGCGTCCAGGCGACGCCTCGCAATGAGAAGCGCAAGTCCGCTCGGGACACCGTCGTCCGCAGAACGATCATCGTTGCGACCGGTGCAGACCTCTCTCGTTTGTCGGCAGATGAGAGACGTAAGGTGAGTCTGGCATCGATCTCGCGTTTCAGCCCTTTGCAGTGCACCCTAGACCCTACTGAACTCTTGCCTTTACCAGTCGATCATTTCGACAGCATCCCGCCGCAAGTCCCGACGACCCGGCTTTGGAGACGAATCTATTCCCCTGCCGACAGATTGGCAAAACTACGCTGCTGGCTCATCGGAACACTTGCGTGCCTCGGATGACGTGAGCAGCAAAGTTGAGCCGGGTGAGATGCGCGGCCTGCCATCACCGCTTCCACGCAACAACACCTCCTCTCTACTACCACCGGTCTCGCCCGGCAGAGCGCCGCAGAGCGCTTCTCGTAGCTCTTATCATGGAAGTTTGTACGACATGTACATCGACGACGACGAGACACCCCAAGCTGGATCCATACGCTTTCCAGCTTCAGCTGGGCTGCAGCCGCCTCCGAGCGCGAACAGCTACGTCGCTGAGCCGCGCGGTGGTCATATAGAAGTGACCGAGCGCGCAGACGGAAGCGTCGTTTGGCAAGTTATTGCTGGCCTCACTGATCGCGCCAGCACGTACAGCGCGATGTCTGGAGGATTTGTTGGTGGGCACAGCCGTGCCGCAAGCGATACCAGCCAGCTTTCTTTCCGGCCACCACGAGACAGCATGGTGGATGACTCTACGCCGGACCCGCAAGCACGCACCTTCACCGGCCTTACAAGCGACGACAGTCGCAGCTTCTTCGCTCGTTCGCGAGGCGGCAAAGAGCATCGAAAGAGCTTCTCATTTGACGCTTCAATTCCATTACCACCGCTGCCCACCACCATAGCGAAGTCCCGCACAGCGCGCTCCAGCACGGATCCGAACAATTCTACTGCTGATGAGGCCCTCGAAGGTGGTCCCCACGACATGCCGCCATTGCCAGTCCCTGAAGGAGCTGCGCAGCCTCGAGTCTCGCCTTCAGCATCGCGTCCCGAGCAGCTGGGTTTCGACATGGCCAACACTGCGCCTGGTGAAGGGGCAACGCGCATCGTCTACACCGACGACGCTGATCTGGCCGCTATCATCGAAGCAATGAGCCGAGGTGGCGATGCCGCTAAATTCGAATTCAGCCGCGTGCCTGGCAGTGCCGCTTTCCAAGGCTTCCTCGATGCGTCCGACCAACCATCGCGCCCGGTGAGCACATGGACCGGAGCAAGTGCAGATTCTGGTGAAGCCCGCACTCATCGTATGAAGATTGAGGCGGAGATTTTCAACCTCTTGCAAACGGATGGCAATCTGAGGGCCTCCACGGATTGAGCGGTCTATCGCTACGCGCTCCACTCCCCTTCGCCGCCTGTTTTGTTGAAGCATTAGCTTTTGCAAGCTTTCTTAGAGGCGTTTTGTGAAATACTTTGGCTTTTTGGACGTCACCTGCAATCTAATTTCATTACGATGTGACGATTCCAGCCCTCAAATCTAGGAGTCCATTTGACTAGCTACTATTCCTCGGGTACGCGACGCTGCTGCGGTAACGCCGCTTTGCTTGCTTCTATGGCATCGAGAGCGTAGCTAGTCTCTACGTCTCCTAGCAGGCCGAACACTTGCCTGATACGTTCGATGCGCTTTTC